GCATAAATTGCATCCAGCAGCACAGCCAGCTATGGATCTGCTCTGCCCAGCTCAAATTGCTTCTATTACAGGCACGCATGTAGATGTTGCACCTGGGAGCAGTTTCCTCCAGGTTATAAACAGCACCAGAGTTTATTGTGTTGCATTAATTGCACATGTAGATGCACCCAGGTACATCAAAACTAGTTCAGAATTTAATATGCCAAACCTTGTAATATTGTTCAAACAGGTAGTCCTCAGTGGTGCAAATAGTCACATCAAGTTCAGTGGAATTAGTTTTGTGATGCATTATAGCCTTGGCAAATGAATATAAAGATGAGTATCAGAGGCCATGAATACTAATCCCCCTAGCATTAGCAATTCTACTGTAGGCATATGGATAGTTTCTATTTTAGTTTCTCCATCAGTAACAATGAAAATACTAGTATACCTCTCATGGATGTGTTGTTAGTACTGTCCGTTTAGCACTGGGAGGGTTTTATGTGAAAGCATGTGTTGTTATAGGGATTAACATTCCTAAAATGTAAACCAGATAGCAGGAAAATGGAACATGTATTTTATGTTCCAATACAGCACTTCCCAATGTTGACATTCCTTTTCAACCTTAAACCTTTCCAAAGCGTAGGTAACATTTCTATGATTTCCACCTAGCACCAGGTAATGTTGCTAAGCACTGCTGCACTGAGGGACATTTAACTACTGTTCTGAAGCAGAGATGGCATTATTTCCAGGGAGCTGAAAATGCACATTTTCCTTGTAAATTTTGTGTATATTTCCTAAAGTGGAAAATTGCATAAATAATAGATTAACACTTGATAGGCTCTGATGCTTGGAACCTGAACCTTTGGATTGAGCCCTTGGTAATGAAAATTTTAAGTGAAAAGGATTTTCAGTGTAAGTAGCTGCAAAACAAAATCAGAATTGATCTGCATGATACCACCTGAAGCATGTACATATTTGTGTACCATAGTAACAAATGTAGGGTTTGGTCCTGCAAGAAACTAAATGCCATACTCCTATTAAAAATATGCTGAAAAAAGGAAGCTGACTGCAAATATTTATGAGGGGCTAAGTCATTGTCCAGTCTACACAGATTTGCAGAGGCAGGGAGAAGACCTGTGATCCTACATGCATTTGCCCAGAAATGGATCCAGGATTTGCAAATGGGAAGTGCAGTTGCAAGCCCCACTCCCTGGCTTCTCCCCCTCCTCCCCTCCCATGGGCGCAGGCAGATGGTGCTACAGGAGCAGCAGCTGGGACTAAAGTCCCAAAGGTAAGAATTCCCCCACTCCCTTCCTCCCCTTCCTCAGAGGCACTTCCTCTCCCTTACCCTCTCTTCTCCATCCCTTCGCCTCTCTCTCCCCCTCCTCTCCTGCTTGCCACTGCCAAATGCCAGGCTGGATGGTGAAGGGAGCCCGTTCCACCTGGCCTGTGCAGGGGCTGCAGTAGCAGTGACCAGGGAACATGTTACCCCTCCACACTCCTGCTCCCAGGCCGCCAGGGAATCCCTGCAGGGAGCAGGCAGGAAGAGGGAATGCACTTGTCCAGAGCCTCCACAGCTGCAGTGCCAGGCTGAGCATAACCCCTGGGAAATCCAGATGGAGCAGGCAGGAGCTCCCCTCACCCCCTGGATGTTGTCCCAGCATCAGGCAGGAGAGAGGGGTGGTGGGAGGAGAGATAGAGGGGACAGGACATGCCTTTGAGCATGAAGGGGAAGGGAAGGGGGAGGGATGCTTACCTTCTTCAAGATATAAGCCCCTGCTATTGCTCCTGGGGCCTGGTTGGGAAGTGGGGTGGCCGCACCACTGCACCTACTATGGCTTTGCCCCTAAGTGAATGTGGGAGTAAGTGGGTGTTTCTTGCCTGCTGGTCTTCTCCTGGAGGAAGTGACTGAAACATGGGCGCCGGAGAGTGCACAAATGGGTGGAACCTGTCTCAGTGCACCACATGAACCAGTATGATGGACTGGAAATCTTCTACTAGTCAAGATTAGTAGCACATTACTCACTGCCTAAGAGCAAACGAATTTCAGGGAAGACATTTTGCCTTTTAGAGAAGAATTGCACTAAAGTCCCTACACCTTATGGATAGTAAATGCACCATAGAGTTAGCACCATAGCAAAGGTGCTCCCTACTAAGAGGTAGGGCTTACTATCTGGAAAAAAAGCCATGGCTGGAGCCCTGCTGTACTACATGCTATAAAAACATACAGTCCCTATCTTTGAAAGCATATCATCTACAAGCTTTATTTTGCAGTTCCTTCACCCATGCCCAAAAATTATATTTGGACAATAAAAGTCGTCTGTATTCATCAATATTTTATGTAGCACAATGGTTTTGCTGTTTCTTTCCCTTTTCCTCTGTTAAGCTTTGGAAGGAAGCATTTTTATTGACTCTCACTGAGATTTTCAAAAATAAGTGCCTAAAATTAGGCCTGTGTTTAGGCATTTAAATAAGTGGATTCTTTCTCCAAAGTGCTGAGCAACCAGCACAGACTTCAGCTACATGCTCAGAACTTTTGAAAATCAGAACACTTCTGTTTTTGAAGTTCTTGGCCCATGTACACATATTCCCCTACCTCACAGGTGCCTTGTGAGGATAAAAATAAGTATTAAGACTGTGAGGCACTCAGATGTTATGCTATTAGGACCATATAGGTCTTTGCCTAAAAAGCCTTAAGTGGCCTAGGTCCTACATACCTACGGGACTGCCTCCTTCCTTATATTCCATTGTAATTCCTAAGGTCAAGTGAGAAAAATGTCTTGCACGTATCATCTGGGCACCAAATTCACATGGCAAAAACACATGGGAAGCTGTTCTCAGTAGTCACTCCTCAGCTTGGAACTACCTCCCTTCAAGCTCACCAAAGCACAAGCCTCCAACTTCACAGGTGGAGTTAATTTTGGGGTAACGTCTGAGGAATTGTCTTATTATTTATTTTATCCATTTTCATGACTTGTTTTTACTGGAAGCAGCCCTCAGCCTTTTTGTGAGGAGAGTGACACAGATATGTAATCAAGGTCAGCGATTCTCAAGCAAGGATGCTACAGGTACCTGGAGTGTCACAAGATATTTTTAAGGGTGCTACATAATATTAGCACTGTTAGTGTGCAAACACCTACACAATTCACAAGATAAACCCAAAGATTTCAAATAGGAATTCAGTGCTAATGACATGCTGACCTGATGTGGTCTTTCTGAGTTCTCTGCAACAGCTATATCATTTTTCTGTACTCAGAAAGGAGTGAAGACTAAGAGCTGGCTTTTTCTGAGGGGCGTCTTGCATCTAAAAAGGTTGAGAACAACTGATCTAGGTACACTAAGAATCTGTTTTGGCCTTTATGCTGTGCACTTAACTCTCATTTGCCTCAGTGATCTTAACATATATTTTGACCCTACATGGTTTTTAACTCTTCTTGACAGAGCTCAATGGTTTTATAAACAGTTTGACACCACTCAGATTGAAATGTAATCCCTTTCTATGGCATCTAAACTGACCACTCAGAAAAAACTGTATTCTAAAATCTTCACCATTGAAGGCTTCAGTGCAGATCAATGGACATTATGTATTAATGTAAGAGGACACAAAACTGAGAGAATGTCAAAAGATAAAAGTGCATCTAGCTTCCCGAAGCATTTGATTTTTTTCTTGTGAAGTCAGACAGCATTGAAATAATAATGCAGTGCTTCCCACATTTCCCTGTGGTGGCCTCGTTCTTTTAGGGAGGGCTGGTTGTTGAAAGAATCAGTCAGAAAAACTACAACATACAATTGAATACAGGGGTTTTCCATTAAAGAACTGGGTTGTTACGCTTACCACTGACTTTCTTCCTCTCGCAGAGGTTAAGTCACATGTCAAGGACACAAATCTTAAGTAGATCATATTGCTTACTGTATAGCCTTCCAAGTGAAGCAGACAAGAACTCATATATCAATGCATGTGGAGTAGCATCCAACAAGTATTCAAGTAAAATACAAGTGGCATTGTTAAAATATATTATTTTTTAAAATGTCAAGCAATAATCCATGAGAAATAAAAATAAGTCTGTCACCCTCCTAAAATGTTTCTTAATGTGTAGTGACACCATAAAAGCTACCTTTATTTATTACAAATTGTAAAATTGTGGCATTGAACTAATCAAATTCAAATCAGTTCAACTGCATAATTTTCAGTGAAGAGGTGCTTATGAAACACAAAATGAACTCCAAACTGGAAGGCTCATTGCCTCCTAATCAAAAGCAGTCAGCTTTAAACATCAGCCAGTCAGGTGATAAGTTTGTCATTTCTCAGCTGCGTTCTTGGTGGGAAGTTGTCAAGAAGGCTTGACAGCCCTTAAACTTGCTATCACATTTTTCCCTGTTTATGAACCTCATGTTGATCTACTAAAATCATTGGGAGGCTGGGAGGAAAGGCACAATAACAGCAGTTCTATTAAACTATATTTGCAGCAGTGTATGTCAAGCAGAATTTATGGAATGAAAATATGTGTAATTTCTGAAAAGAAATTTTCACCACCCCTCATGTCTGGTTCTCTCTTGTCTAATTGTGTCCGGCTGCATTGGGGGGACTGAGAAATATTAATGATTAATTGCTTAGGTGTCAGAGAAGTACAGGCTTGTAATACATCATTAGAAGCCAGATCAGGGAGTCTGAATTAAAATGAGAAGCTCTGGATGAATGTATTACTGCTATATACAATTAACAGCACAGGCCAGAAATCATTTACTTTCATAATTTAGAACAATGGCAGCTCTCCACTGAAAACATATTTACAGTAATTTTACTTTGCTCTCTGCAGGCTTGGTACAAAAGGGAGAGAGATGAATTAATATGCACCAAAGCAGCAGAGGAGAAACCTGTCTTTGAACTGTTCTTTTCTTTTTAATCAGCACAGCCTCTTCTGAAAATGAGACAGGACTATGAATAGGTGGAGAGCATCCAGGTTATAAAGGGCAAATCAGCTTTACATGATTTGCTTCTTCAGTGTGATGAACTGAGTTTGACCTTTATTTGACTTGGGTTGACCAGGTCTTCTCCATTTTAACCCAGGTCTGATCAGCAATTTCAAGTCAGCTAAACTGAAGTTACACCGACCATCTGTCTTACAGGTCCGATTTCCCTTCACTCTTAGCATTAATACTTCTGTCCTCAAAGAATTCTCTAATGCTGATAAATGTCTTCCATTTCACATCCACAAGTATGGGGTTCCACAGGAACCGTAGTCATTTTAATACTGGTTGGGGTCCCATTAAGCTTTGGAGGTTCTTAAATTGCTTCTTGGAGTTTATTTGTCAAATAACTCAGGGTATAAAAGTAGCACCATAAACATTAATTGAACAGCCATTAAGCAGTATGGCTGTTTGTTTTGGGTTGATAGAGGACATAAAACTTCATACCCTGTGGTGGAAAACAATTAGATCTGATGATGAACATGCTATTAAATATACCATTACCAGACTTATATCAGTTTAACTTTACAGAATAGCAACCAGCTGTAGTAAAAATAATATACAAATGATAGAAAGTCATATTTTGACTGTTATGTCACAGCCTGTTATAAATATTGTAGTTTCTAATGTTTTATGCTAATGGCAGTGACTAATGGCAGTCATTTTCTCCATTCATTCTCATAAAAAACATCCTCAAGAGAGGATGATCATAACTAGAATGCTGTTTAAAATTAACTATGTTTTTCTAAAACACAGAATATAAAAAAAAATACAAGAGGTTGACTGGCTGATTTATTTTGTTTTGAGTATGTTTGACAAATACAGCTGTTGTTAACTGTGCCATGAGTTGAATTGATATCCCTTTTAGAGCTGTTTTTGGCATGCTAACATGTGTACACATGCCTTGTTTCACAGAACTCTCTGAAGAGAGAGATGTAGGTGAACCTTACAATAGAAAACCAATGGCTAGAATAAATCTGACACTGCCCCTCTAGAGGCTTAATATTTTTTAATAAGGACACTGAATTTCCTCATCCATTTCTTATTTCAGTTATGAATTCTGCTTACTTGACAGGTACAGAGCACTTCATTATGTGCACGAACAGAAATGCTTAAACGGATGAAGCAGCTATTTGCGTCTGATAGGAGCTAAGTGGGACATTAAATTAATGCCAAACAAGTGAGTGCTCTTTTTAGTTTCGTTATAAATGGCTGCAGTATAGCAGTAATGTGTTGACTCTTATGTGCTGACAACTTCTATATTTCTTACAAACTTCCCTCAGATCTAGACATGGAAAGATAAATTCCTACTCTGCATGATAAAATTAGCAGTAGATACATTAATAATTGAATAAGGATCTCTTGAGAAATACCAGAGTTCACCAGGAGTGTTGGCAACTGAATGGTTTTAAATGAAGACTGCTGTCATATACAAGTACTTACATAAGCCCCAAGTTAAGAAGCAATGTCTGTAGCCTGTTTGGTATCAAGTGAACATCTTGCTTTTAGGAAACCTGAAGTCACTTGCATAACTGCATTTTCTCTTGTCATGACCAGACTGCCTATAATTCATCTTGGCAGTGTATTTGCCAGCCCCCTAGTTCTGTGATTGTACTCTCCAGCATATAATCAAACTAAACTCAGCAACACACACTCTCTCTCTCTAAACCAGTGATTATCAACCACAAGATAAACCCAGAGATTTCAATAGAAATTGATAGTGTCAAAAACATCCTGATTTGTTGTGATCTTCTGAGTTCTTTGCAACCAAAGAATTGCTCTATTATTCTTTTGTAGTAAAAAAAAGTGAAAATTAAGAGCTTGTATTTTCTAAGGGGTGCCTTTAGACTAACTATAAGTGCCTTGAGTCTAAAAAGGTTGAGAACCAGTGCTCTAAACAATGTTTTGGATAGGATTGAATATAAGAACTGTGTACTATATAATGAGACCCAACCACACTCATCCTTAACCACACTCTTTTGAGCACAGTGAAAGCCCTACGCTTGATCTATGTGCACGTTAGCTTCTTTAGTTTGAGCCATTGTGGGGCAGAGAAAAAAGAAAACTATAGATAAGTGAATGACCTATGGAGCATCTGTGGCCTACATGATGCTTGGTGGGAAACACGGCTGTCTGGTTTCACCTGTAAAGGCCTTCATATCTAAATTATAGATATTAGCACATAATGATTTTTGCTGTTGATCCAATCTGTCAGCATTACTCAAACTAGTGATATGTATTTAGTGTGACTTCTAGTGAACTATAGCATTAGTCAGGTGGTCAAATTATCTGCTGGAGTAAATCAGCTCGTATGCTGATTTAATTTGTGTCAATGGAGTAGCAGAAGTTTGAACAAGTAGGTCACACTCACACATGCAGGCACATGTGTTTGTGGGATGGGTGCAGGGGTATGTGAGGGGTTTGTGGGTGGATTGATGGGGGTATGTCGGGGTGGGAGTTTTGGTTGGGGGCGTGGGGCTTGTGGGTGGATTGTGGGGGGTTCAGCTGTGTGGGGTTTGTAAGTGGGTATGTGGGGAGCTGCAAGTAGGTATGAGGGGTTCATGGGGAATTGTGGGGGGGCCATCACACACCCACCTGCCCAACACCCCCTACAGCATTAGGCAGCATCCAGCAGTGGGCTGTCCGGGTGCTCATGGCCCACTGCAAGTCAAGCCTGCTGGTGGTGCACGTTGCTGCCTGAGACTCAGGGGCTGCACTTTGCATATGAAGCAAGCCTGGTCCACTGGTGCACACCTTTAAACAGGATCAGGATGGCTCCTGCCATAACCAAGGGATCCCGGCACCACACATAGGAGCTGTGCGCCACCAAGCCAGCCTGGCTCCTGCCTTCATGTGCCCCATGTGCCAGTGGGCCAGGCCAGCTCTATGGAGGTAGGAGCCAGTGCAGCCCCATGGCACATGGCTCCTGTATGCAATGCCAGGATCCCTGGGTCTCAGCAGGAGCCATCCCAGTCCCACCTAAAGGCACGTCCCAGTGGACCAGACTGGCTCCATGTGCCATATGTAGCCCTGGGTCTCAGGTGACGCCATGCGCCACTGTGGGGGCTTGCCTGCACCGGACCATGAGTGTCCCGATGGCCTGCTGCTAGCTTCTGCTGTGCAACATGGTGGGGGCCTGTGCACTGTGTGAGGGGGCAGGCAGGGGACCCTCCCCTCCCACACATTCCCCTCTCAGCCACAATCCCCCTCCACCCCCACACAATCCCCCAACCCCAACAGATTTACCAGCTAGAGGCAGCTGTCAGCTGCCTGTTTAGTCTACAGCCAAATCTCTGAAATCAGCCAAATCAGTTTGGATGCTTTGAATATATTCAGTGCTTTTACTTGGTCTCCCAATTTGATTCGGAGATTTGGTTCCCAGATCGGGCCAAATTTCTTCTGAATCGAATCAGCTACCGAAGTTTTGCACAACCCTGTTGGGTACCAATGCAGCCTCCTGTTTCACGTGCACTAGTATATATTTTTGGACACCACTCTCAGATTGGCCATTTAGAGCAAATATGCTCAACCCCCAGCCCACAGACTAAATCAGGGTTATGGAGCCATGGCACCCAGCCCATGAGGCCCCCCAC